GAGACAAGCATCTGAAGAACAGAAGACAAATGAAAACACTGACAGTACAAAATGGCATTATAAAAATCACTTCAAACCCAAATGAAGGCTCCCAGCAGCAAGCTGCAACCTCTCACTCCACCAGAAGCAGTATTGCAAAAAAGCACTGAAAACTGGAACAAGAGCAAGTAGAAGTCACAACGGCTAAGGGCACACACTAAGCCTTTTTTCTGGGACCTAAAATTTAGAGTAGGTCCACCTGTATCACTACCATTCTGCCTTAGAGATAGATATACTCTTTCTCTATTCCTGTTGCCCTCTATCTGCATCAAAAAGTCAATCTGGACCACAACTAGCAACTAAAAGTACTCACTCAAACAAACTGGAAGGGAGGAGATACAAAAAAAAAATCTTCAAAAACCCATTACTGTCTAGTCAAAATATCACTGAGAATGGTAGGGCTAGAGAAAAAAATTTTAAAGCTCTTAATTTAGTATTTTTAAAAAAAACAACCATGGACTTAGAAAGAGATAACAATAAGAAGAGCATTAACTACAAACCCACATATTAAAATACTGAGTACCTAACATAGAACAATGAAAAGACAAAATTCCAAAAATGGCAGAATTTGGGGAACAGAAGAACTTAGATCCACAGCATAATTCTGATAGGGTATAATCTAATAAAACGTTGATAAGAAAATATTCACCAATTTTAACAAATTAGAAGCAGGCCCATAAAGGTCTAATCCAATAATGAATGGAAAAAATGCTATTAATTTCAATGGGCTTTGGAACTGTCCCTTAAAAAACATAGTTATGTAACAGTCAAGGGCAAAATAGCCCCAGTTTTACTAACTTTAAGAAATGTACCTGATATATATTGAAATCTGCAAGTCTAACCACAATAGGACTAGACATCAGTTTGCCCTTTGGTTGTTGGGAAGATACAGAGGAAGCCCTAGATGTTCCTTTCGGTATCTGTTCCTTGCCTGTAGGAAAGAATAGTGACGAAATCATTGAAAAGAACAATCTTTTTTAGAATAGTTTTAACAGTTCATGGAATTAGAGCATTAGTAACACAAACAAAGTACCTGTTTGTAGGTTCTGAGGAGATACAGCAGGTGGTGATTTGGGAGGAGAATCTATGACCTGGTCTTTCACAGCCTGCTTAAGCAATTCAACATTGTTTTTGAATTCATTTAATAATTCTTTGGCCCATCCACTTCTGGTTTTAGTGGCATCACTATAATGCATCCAGTGATCGCAGCTGTCTCCTGCAAATAAGAGGGAAATATTAACTCATTTGGAGGCTTGCTTCTAACTGGGTAAAAAGTTTACGTTATTTCATAGAATGGTTTAGGGTAGAAGGGACTTTAAAGATCATCTAGTTCCAACAATCCTGCCATGTACAGGGACAGTTTCCACTAGATCAGGTTGCTCAAAGCTCCATCCAACTTTGCCTTGATTTCAAAATTCTTCTTCAAAACATAGTCTCATCACTTATTGTAATTATAAAACACCAGAAGTTGTAACAGAAGTTGTAAGTTACCTGAAAACAATTCTCACTGTTGCACAAAATCACTCAGAAAACAGTATTGCCACTTGCCTTTTAATACCATCAATTAATGCTCAAAACACCATTGATTATATCCAGTTCAGAGAAATTTGATGACACGTCGTATGTGAGAATATGCAAAAAAATCTCACCATTTCACTGAATAAAAATAAAGTAAGAGCAAGTAACAGAACAATGTTCTCATGTTCACTTTTCCCAGGCTTATCTCTCCTGCCAGAACTGTGTCCTATGAAGTTGCTGGTCTCTTTCCAGAAACGGATTCTTTTTGTCTTGTCTCTCTAGCACCTCTGAGGCACATGAACAAGAAGGTAAGTTCAATCAGTGCTGCAGCACACATAGCCTTATAAATGAAGCTGAGTGGAAATTCTTCTACTCCTAACATATTTAAGTTTGTCAAGCATTTAAACCTCTGAAAGAAATGGAGATCTTTTCAAATAGTCCTGTAAAGACAGTCTACTGACCTGTTCAACAACAGGGATGCTATACAAATACCTTCTGTCAAGTGCTCTTTAAATACCAGCATGCAAAAACTTACTTTGTTCGGGACTTAAGTGTCCAAAACCTCATTATGCTGAGCATGAGTAGGTATGGCCGCTAATAAAACAGGAAAATGTCAGTTCAAGTCTAAATGCAAAGATTTCAGCACAAAAGAAACCTTAAGGCCTATCACAAGAGATGCCATTTTTCCCCACTGTCCTGCCTCACAGCCCTTTGATGGTTATTCACGTGTTTCTAGCTAAGGAAGAGGAATGAACAGGGAAGAAAACAGAAAGAGAGCAAGTGGGCAAATTCAAGTCCATCAAGCCAGGATTCTCCAAAACAGGGCTGGAGTTACCCCAAGCACATACACATGAACTCCGAGGCACTTAAAGGGCAGCAGCTTTATAGGGAGAGCTCTTATACGCCTTCTGGGAAGTCAGCATGCACAAGTGCCTCTCTGAAGTGCTTGCCCACCAAATCTTGCAGCCAGAGCAACACACGGGAGCAAGAGGAATTAGAGATCTCCATGCAGGTGCAGGGCTTTGATTTCATTAGGATCAAGCTCTTTGGGAAGCAGACGCCAAGAAGGCAAGAAGGGTGAGTTGCCCTGGGATGGATGATCAGCTAGCTGAGCGCTTACAGGTTAGGCTCAAAGGGGAGACCAACAAGGACGATGTGGTAGAGGATCTCTGCTACAGACCGTCTCACTAGGAAGGTCATGAGGCCTTCTTCAGACAACTGGAAGAAGTATCATATGTCCACATATCCTGATCCTCATTAGGAACTTCAGCCACCTCAGCACCCACTGGAGGGACAACGCAGAACGACACAAGCAATCCACGCAGTTTTTGAAAGTGCATCGGTGACTACCTTGTAACACATATAATCAAGGAGCCAAAGAGCTCTGCTGGATCCAGTTCTCACAAAAAAACAAAGAACTGATCAGGGATGTGAAGGTCAGGGGCAGCCTTGGCTGCAGGGACCATAACATAGAGGACATTCAAGATTATGAGGTGAAGGCAACCCAGGATTTCAGAACAGCCTTTGGCCTGTTAGAAAGAGTCTCATGGGACAGAACACTGGCCAGAGGAGGCATCCAGGAGAGCTGGCTGATGTTCAAGAATCAACTTCAAGCCAAAGGATAGTTCACCCCAAGAAGCAGGTAATCCAGAAAATGCGGAAGGCGGTGTGTGTGGATGAACCAGGAGCTCCTAACTAAATTCAAAGGAAGCATACAAGATGTCGATACAGCATGAGGTCACCCAAAAATACAGAGGATGGCGTCAGGAATACCAAAACCTATCTCAAGTTGAATCTAATGAGGAGCATTAAGGACAACAACAAGGACCTATACAGATGTATCACCAGCAAAAGGAAGAACAGGGAAAGCTTGGACTTGTTGCTGAATAGGACAAGGGACCTGGTGACAAATGACACGGAGAAGGCCGAGGTACTCAAAGTCTTCTTTGCCTCAGTTTTCACTGGTAACACTCGCATTCAAAATTCCCAGGCCCTCGAGACCTTTTGGAAAGTCTGGAGCAAGGAAACCTTCCCCTGAGCAGAGGAGCATTATCTTAGGAAACATTTAAAAAGATCAGACATGCACCAATCCACAAGATCCTGATGAAATGAAAACAAGTGTTGAGAGAGCTGGCCAGTGTCACTGATAAGTCACTCTGTATTATCCTTAAAAGGTTATCATTGAATAGTGATCAGGAAAAGTTCCTGAGGACTGGAAGAAAGGTAATATTCTCATCTTCAAGAAGGAAGACAAAAAGAACATCAGGCAAGTCTGCATCACCTCAAAGAAGGTAATGAAGGAAGGCAATACAGGGCAACAGAGCAAATAATCCTAGAAACCGTTTCAAAATAAGTTACAGACAGGAAGGTGATTGAGAACACACTTACAGGGATTTATGATGGGAAAATAATGCCTGATGAACTTGATAGCGTTCTACTATGAGATGAGTGGCTTGATGGATGAGGGGACAGCAGTAGTTGTTTACCTCAGCTTTAACAAGGCATTCATCCCTATCTGTAACATGCTAGTGACAAAATGAAATACTGACTAGGTAAGTACACAGTGAGGTGGACTGGAAACTGAATTGTTAGTCTTCTAGGGTTGGGAAGTCCAGCTGGAGGCAATCATCTATGGTATACCCCCTGAACCAATACTGGAGACAGTACCATCATTCAGAGTGATCTCAAAAGGCTAGAAAAGTGACCTGACAATAATCCCATGAACTTCAAAGGTAAATCTTCAAAGGTCCACTATCTGAAAAACAGGCAAGAGGCTAACCAGTTGGGAAGCAGCTTTGCAGAAAAAAAAAAAAAAAAAAAAAAGAACAAACCTGAGACAGTAAGTTCAATATGAATCAGCAACGTGTCCTTCATAAAGAGAAAGCCAACAGCACCTTGGGCTGCCTAGGTAAAGCATTGCCAGCAGGTCAAGGGAGGTGACCCATGCCCTTTGTTCAAGTCTGGAAAGACTACATCTGAAGTTCTGGGTCCAGTTCTGGACTCCCCAGTACAAGGCTGCCATGGACTTTCTGGAGTGAGCCTAGCAAATGGTCACAAAGGTACTTAAAGGACTGGTACACCTTTCAGGGAAAGGCTGAGATAGCTGCAATCATTTAGCATGGAGGACAGAAGGCTCAGAGGAATATTATCAATGTGTATAAACGACTGATGAGGGCAGTAAAGATGAGGGAGGCAGTGACAGGACAAGAAGCAATAAGCACAAAGTGAAACATGAAAAATTCCACTGAAACATTAAAAAAAAGCTTCTCTACTGTGAGGGTGGTTAAACACTGCATTAGGATGCACGGGGAGGCTGTAGAGTCTCCAGCCTTGGAGCTATTCAAAACCTAACTGGACACTGTCCTGGGAAGCCAACCTGAATCGACACCACTTAGATCAGAGGGCTTGGACAAGCCAATCTCCAGAGGTGCCTTCTATCCTCAACTATTTTACAGGTCTATAAATAGAGATGTCATTGGTACATTTATCTGTGAAAACTGAAGAGCAGGCCAGATTTTAACAAGAAAACAATATTTCAGTGGAGCTGGCAATGATGTTGCTACCATCTGAATCTACTGCTGGTTGTCCAGGAAGAAAATGCTTTCCAAATTCTCATACTGTCTCAACATGTCAGCTTGATCAAGGATTTTACATGCTACAAAACGTCCTGCATGATGGCAAAGCAGCACTTCTCTCTGATCATTATCCAGCAACACATCAGCTGCACAGATAATGGACCTGGATAAAAAATTCTGTGAGAGCAAGTTTGGGAGGACTAGTAGAGCGACAGACTGCTGTACAGACAGGTGTGTCAACGGACACACAACCTGCTTGTTTCTGTTAAGCACCATGAAAAGCTACTGTTGGAAGGCTTGATTTTCAATGGCTTAAAAAAATTTACCCTACAGTAACTATGCCTCAGATTCTCTTCAGAGTCCTTCTGGGTGGGGTCTGTTACAAAAACAAATAAACAAACAAAAAAGAACCCAAAAGAACCGACAACATGCAAAATAATTAATTGTTGAGGGCTTTTTCTTGAAGTATTAATTCAAATTCCCAACCAGAATATTCCAAAACAGCTATTTCTAAATATTCCAGAGAGGTACAAAATGAGAAAACACTCTGGTAACAGTCACAGAAGTATATATGTGCTTTCTCCTTGCCCGCTGTTACAGAGTATGAACACGTTGTTGTCCTTCGGCACGGAATATTGCAGAGCTTCGATTTCAGGGTAGGAATGCTCCACATACCATGTAACAGCCTGATACAGCAGCATATAGAGACACAATACCGACAGGGCTGGAGAACTATCTTTGAACTTTCAGGATTAACCTGTGTTCCTTTTACTTTGAGTAAAGGGACTTTCCCCTCTGTGATGATAGTTTGCCCATAGAATCGCCACACTCTTCTAAAGCGGTGAAAAAATGACAGCCTCTTAAAGTAGAAAAAGATGCTTTCTGGCATGTTCCATCCTCCTTCACGCACACACCCTACTGGATCAAACACATGCAGTTTTTTGTCACAGCTTATTAGCAAGATCTAGATTTCTGTTACTTAAACATACTTCTACAGAAGACCTTTTAAGAAGAACACTACCTTTAGAGGCACTACCTCTGCTCTGCAGATGGCCTTTTCCACCTCTGGTTTCATGCAGTGGGAGTTATGTCCCATGTAGCCATTACTTAAAAGCATTCTCAGCGGGCTGCTACTGTGCCCATCCAAGACCCTACAGCAGATGGTTCCAACTGGCTAAGAATCTTTTAAAAAAAAAAAAAAATCTATTTATTTCCCTCATTCTCTACATTTTCTCTGAGCAGAGCTCACAAAAATCATAGTTAGACCAGACCCTCACTTAGACATGGTATGAATCAGAAAATGGGTGACAAGACACACATGTGTTAAACCTCTGCAACTTAAGGTCCCACTTCTATAGGACAGAAAACCTGTATCACAAATTTCAAACCATATTAGGCCAATCTACAGCAAACAAAGAATACTGGTTTTCTTAGACATATTCTTTTCGGTGGCTGTGTATGTTTATTTGACCTACTCTGTTACATTTTTTAAGGGGCAAGAACTCTACTTGCTACTTTTGAATGAAATAGATGGGCATTACAGGATTAGATTTGCAACCATGAGTGATAAGGACTTGAGGCAATCTACAGCTAATCCACATCTTTAATGTGTGTGGGTAATCACTCCAAAAGACTGGTTTGTATAAGAAAAAAGCAAAACAAGCACATCCAACCCTCCCTCCACCTCCCAACTAAAAGCCCCTCCACTGTGCTGGATTGCCTTTGATTTCAAGTTCAACAGCAGACTTATATTGGCTCTTCTAATTTTTTCAGATGTCTGAAAAACATTTACTAGAAATTACTTGTAAGAAATGCTAGTTTGGAAATTGCTAACATCTGTTTAATAACATTTGCTTAACAAAAGCCCATACAACTGAATCTCTACACACTGGGATTCTCTTCTAGGAAAATAAAAGAAAAACTAAAACATTGCTTGGAAATGGAGATAAAATTATAAATTTCTGTGTGGAAAAAAACCCAGCAGATTGACTTTTGCAACTATCCTATTAGTGAATTCTCAATCTGCCATGCTGCCTTCCTCTGTCAACACACAATTCTTTTCATATAAGAAATGTGTAAACACCATTTTGTTGACCAAACAGAACAACGAAAAGGAAAAGGCATTTGGCCTAAAACAGCTCTTTCACAGAAATTAAATTGGCTCCCAGCTTGATGATCTTGTTGATTGGTTTTGCATATAAAAGGAAATAAAAAGGTGTGTATTTCAAACGCTTTTAACATTATTACCCAAGCCATGTACATATACGCACACAAACAAGATTTTTCGTATTCAGGCAAGACAGTTACATTCACAGGTAGTTCCCAAAATGCTCACTTTCATACCTGCTTTGTGAAATGGATAATAGTCCACTGTTAAATAGCTGAAGGAAAGCTGCATGGCACCTCCTGTAACACGTCTGTTGGAGTCTGTAAAATAAAACAGACGTTGTATTTAGTGTGTTAGTTCTCATGTTGCTGCACTCCTTGAAACATCTGACAGCTACTTCTTCCTCCCCTTTACCAGCTCTGCTTAAAACCTCATTATCGTTGCTGAAAATTTTCATTCAGATATTCTTCCCTGATTTCTAAAGATCAGCTTGTAGAACACTCTGTTCTGTACCCAGTTACTACTAATAAATTGTGTATTGTTTCAAATGTTATTAGAAAGTGAAGGAAACTCTTTAAATACTGCAGCTTTTTCTGAAACAAAACTTTTCACACTGAATATATGATTATCAGTCAAAGTCAACATATAATTTTGAGAATATTTAAATATCATTTATTTGACAAACATTCTTGCAATGAAGAGGTCTCCTGAAAGTTCTCTTATCTTTTCACTGCTACATTTAAATCTCTCAGCTAAAAATGAAGGACCAATAAAGAGATCTCACCAAGAATGATAAAACCCAACTGCAGTAGATACACTGCATGCAAGGAAGTAGTCTCTTGCTCTGCAAGTATCTTCCTTAATCAAGGAAATACATTCAATAAAACCTAAATTTTTCATGCTCTTTTCTTCAGCAGACCTTGCATGCTTCTGTTTGTTGGGTTTTTTTTCAGGCTATATGCAATAGTCTTTCATTAAAACAAAAAGCAACAGCAAATTATTACACACAAAATTATAAAGTCACAGAACATTTGGTTCACTCTTTCTGTGTGCTGTGGAGCATACCGAATTCTCTAGATTAATAACGGAAAGACAACTGCTCTTTTATTAGCCTGTATTTTATGAGAGTATTACAGAAGCAGACTGTATAGTGACACTTTCAAACCACAGCAATGTTGCCATGCACTCTTCATAACCCAGTTAACTTGTAAAGGAAAAAAAACAACTGTCACAATCAGACTGGACAGAATCAGTTTCTAGAAGACAGGAAAAGCACTGATGCTACTAGAAGTCTTAGCAGGTTTTACTGGATTTCCTCTAAAATAACTACATTTAATAAAGAAATGCTGTCTTGATAGAGGCATCTAGCTAATTTTAAATATGTCCACAGACACTGAAGACAATTCTAAACATTCCTCTAAAATAAAGACTTTTGATTAACATGACAGTATTCCTCAAAATGTTATATAAAGAGGACTCTGGTTCACAGGCACGTTACTTGAAAATAAAAAGTTACCTTTTTCCTTAGAATGGATATCATCACATATATGTAGGTCCAAATGGGAAATTACTAAGTGATGAGAAGTTTCCTTAACATCAAAATCATTAAACAATTTTACTATTGCATCATTTTGATCAGGCGTTGCTGTCGTCTGGTGCGCTTTCACTTGCTGAGAGCTAGGGGCAGGGGCAGAGCTCTGAAAAAAATATTTAGTAATATCAAGTTATAAAGTTCATCCTCCCTTTCAAGCATAAGTATTCTTTTACTTACTCAAAAGAGGCCTCTGAAATAAGAAAAGTCTGCATGACATACATTCACCTCAGATCATGACTGGGATAGTACCGGGCTGTTTCAGACCAAAACTACGCTGCACTACAGGCCAGGCATGACAAAGAGGCAATGCCAGGGCATCCCGTTCCCCCATTCCCCCAAACTTCCTTACAACCCTGTCACTTGCACCACTTGTACTTTTCTAATTTTTGTTGCAAGCTGTTCAGAGAACTAAACCAGCAGAAAACTATCATTTTTTTTTTTTTTAGCAGGGCTCATTTCTGCCAGTTTAGTTTCTCAAACTACATCACAAGTCAAACCTGAGCCAGTGCCAGCACCAGGGAATTGCCAAGACATAAGCCCAGGGAACTGAAGAATCAGGAGCTCCCTGCTCAGTACCTGGTACTGAGATCGCTGCATCCAAACCATCATGTCACATTGTGAGTGGTCAGGACCACCACAAGAACTGAACTCTCCACAGATTCATAGAAAGGTTAAGGTTGGAAGGGACCTTGAAGATCACCTAGTTCAAACCCCCCTTCTGTGGGCGGGGACACCTCTCTCCCCCTAGATCAGGTTGCTCAAAGTCCCATCCAACCTGGCCTTGAACACTTCCAGGGATACGGCATCTATGACTTCCTTGGGCAACCTGTTCCAGTGCTTCACCCCTCTCATAGTGAAGAATTTATTTCTTATATCTAATCTAAATCTACCCTCTTGCAGTTTCAGGCCATTGTCCCTTGTCCTATCACTACAAGCCTTGTAAAAAGGCCTTCTCCAGATTTCCTGTAGGCCCCCTTCATGTACTGGAAAGCCACTATTAAGTCACACAAGAGCCTTCTCTAAGCTGAATAACCTCAGCTTCCTCGGACTGTCTTCACAGTAGAGGTGCTTCAACCCTCTATCTTCGTGAACCCCGTCTGGACCCGCTCCAACAGATCCATGTCCCTTCTGTACTATGGGCTCCAGAACTGGACGCAGTACCCCAGGTGAGGTCTCACAAGAGTGGAGTAGAGGGGCAGAATCACCTCCCTTGACCTGCTGGTCACACTCCTTTTGATGCAGCCCAGGACGCAGTTCGCTTTTTGGGCTGCAAGTGCACACTGCTGGCTCATGTTGAGCCTCTCATCAACTAACACACCCAAGTCCTTCTCGTCAGGGCTGCTCCCAATTACAGTAAGCTAGCTTTGTTGTACGAGATTTTATACAAATTACTTTACTCAATCAGTCTTAGTAATAAATTATGTTCTATCTTTTATCAGGGTATTTGTGCTGCTTGTCACAGACAAGATGAGGTTCCTCCCCATAACGTTCAAAAAGTCCACCTGGTCTAGTCTGCTTTATGTGCTGAAAGATCACCAGAATTAGGTAAGACTGTCTTGCGTGCAGCGTATCACATTTATGCTAGCACAAATATGTTAGAGATGGAATATGTAGTGAAGGATAATTCTAACAAGAGAGTTGCACGAATGAAAACTCTTAGTAAAAGCTAGTTTTTCAGTACTGTAAAAACAAATTGGGCAAGCATTTAAAATGATTATAGTAAGCATTTCTCTCCACACATTAAGGTTGCCTTAGTGTGTCATTGCTTTTTTTTTAATTCATAACTAGAAAATATTTAGAGAGTAAATTTACTAAACCATTAAACAACCGTTTAGTAAATAAGGAAGTCTAAATACTCTGTACATGGATAAAATAAATGCAACTTCTTTCTTTCCAGCAACTAACATCAATATACAAAATCGTGTAAAATAAAGTCTATTTTATACTACTGTGACTGGCAGGTTAGCTCAGTCGGTTGAGCATGGCGCTGATAACATCAAGGTCGCGGGTTCGATTCCTGTTCGGTCCCCATGTGTTGCCTGGTCTAGTCGAGAGGTGGCGCCCCTGCCCGTGACAGGGAGGTTGGATTAAATGATCTCTAAGGTCCCTTCCAGCCTAGGCCATTCTATGATTCTATGATTCCCAATGTAATACAAATTACAATATACTGTGATATACAGCTGAATGAAAATGAGTAACTTAACATTCTCTAAAATAAACACAACTAACCACACTGTGTTGCATTTTAGAACATTTGATAATTATACAGTGAGACAATCAATTACCATACCTGGGCTGTTTCAGAAGCCAAGCTTTTTCTCTGTTCTGTTGATTTCTCTATGGCTTCACTAAGAGATTTGGCATACTGCACCATGGCTTTCAACTGAGAATCAGTCAAAACCCATAGCAAATCATCCAGAATCAGAACCAGTTTTGATGCCACTACATTACAATCCTTTAACTGTAGAATAAAAATTTAAACAAGTCATTAAATACTTACATTTCTTATATAAGTTTAAAAAAAGGAGGTTGAATGCAAAATGACATTTCCCCAAAAGCAAACATATATTTTTTTAAAATCATTTTCTCATTAATTAAAAAGTACCTAAGATACAGTATATTTATGCTTCACTTTTTGTTTATTTAGCATGCATTGGATATTAAGCTGATGCATTTCTCTGAAAGTAAGTAATGTAAATATTATCTGAATCTAGAGAGATAAGACAACATGTATCATCATAAACAAAGCTCTGCAGATCAAATGATTTCATTAGCAGGACCTGTGGAAGGTCTTAATCTTCAAATTCTGCCTGCAACACTACTTACAATTAGTAAGACTGTAGAGTTTACGTGTTATTTAAAATTCAATACAGAGGATTCTGTATGTCATATGGCCTAAATTAAAAACCTCTACTATGTGCATGCACGCATGAGTAAATATAAAATACATAAAATAATAAAAGATTTCAAATATTTCAAGTTTACCCTTCTTTTAAGCGTGACCCTAATTTTGGATTGGTTAGTAATCAGTCGAACTGGAGCACTCATGATTTCATGCTTAGAACTCTGGATTGCATCCGCTTCTATTCTGATCATCTGCCAGTTGATTTCTTTGAAAGTCAAAACCTTTAAAGAGAGGGAAAAAGAGAAAAACACCTTCATGCAATATGAGAGTTTACTTGTGTCTAAGCATGTGCCTGTGTGCATGTGTACATACAACACACACACACACACACGCACACGTACCCTTCATGCAGAGCCAACACAAGTCACTTGTTATTCCACTTACAGGTGTCAGGGACTGAAGCCCTGATCCTTCTCTCTACCTCCAGAATGTCACAAAAATGTTAAGCTAGTTCCAAGCAGGTAACAAGCAGCATTTAAAAAATTCAGAAGAAAATAAAGGTCACAATTGCTGCGTACGACGTTGATTTTGGTAGAGGGGAAAGAGAAGATTGCGTACTTTAGTTTCAAAATGCTAAACCTAAGATATAGGAAGTATACAGGAAAAGAGAAGGGAGTAAAGCAGAGCTAGAGAATGAGAGAGTTTTTAGAGTGCTATATTTCAATTAGAAGGAAAAATTAAAAGTTAAGCGTTTAACAAGAGCCCACAAGCTTTGAGTTCGTGACAGAGATTTCTAGAAGACACAGTAAGCAAATGTCAGAATAATAATACAAGAGCAACAAGTACAGCTGGATATTGAAAATCAAATATGGGAAAATGAGTGACTGTCCAGCAGCAACATCACATGAACAGGACATCAAACTCCTTCCTATGTTGCTTTCTGAGGAAGAAAAGATCAATCACAGGGGAAATGGAAGAGGGAAGTTTGTCTGGCATGTGTTTATTTTTCAGCTGTCATTCTCCTCAGCCATTTGGAAACTGTATAGCCTATGTCCTGCGAATACAAGCAGAGACTTAAGTAGAATATATCCGATGTGCACAAGAAGGAGGCACATTACACAACAAAGTGAGCAAGATGGAAAGGCACAGAGCAAAGTAGCCTGAAAAATACTATTTGCAGAAAAGCAGAGTACCTACCCTCCTCATCCAGTAGATGCAGCATGAATGGTAGCTTCTAAAAAAATTCTAAGGACATTGCTTACTATATTGAGTACTACGGTGCAAAGCTAAAAGGTCACTTCCTTCAAATTTAGTTTAGTGTATGTTATCTTTATAGTACAGTGCCAGTTTTGGTTTTTCACCCTTTCACACAATTTACCGCCAACAAATAATTTACTACAGTTTCTAGAAATTCGTGTTTCCAGAATGTATTGCACTCAAGGAAATCTCTGTTGTATACGAGGTGGCTATTCAGAATCACATTCTTTCTAAAAAGCGCAAAATTGAAGATATAGGGAAATACAAAATTCCACCTAGTCAAACTTTAATTCTTCGTCTTTAGACTTCATTAACACGTGAACATTAGCATACAGATAAGCTGCAGGAAAGACAAAGTGCAGAAAATCAGTTTTCAACCTATTTTTCTGGTATTTTTAACTAGCATTCTCTCGGGGTTTCTTTCCCT